TCTCCCAATGTTTTTTCATTCAATTTTCTATAATCAATGACTATTCTCCATTTTTGCTTTCCCGATGCGTCTAATTTTTTTGGAACAATCCATATAGGTGAGCACCACGCTGAATGGCTCTCTCTAATAATTTTTTGATCAAGCATTGATTGTATTTGTCTTTGTACCTCTTTTCGGTGGATTTCAGGATATCTGTATGATTTAGTGTAAATGGGTATTTCATCGCTTGTACGTATTTGATGCTTAATTTTGCTCGTAAAAGTTAAGTAATTACCATCTATGTGAAATATGTCTGAATACTCTCTTACTAACTTGGTGATTGCGTCTTTTTCTTCAGAGTTCATATGCTCTGTCCTAATTTTGGAAATATCAAATTTATATTTTTGAAAGTTCAAAGAATTAATATTCGGTGGATCAGAATTTTCTGAAACTTCGTAATTTTCAAAATTTTCTACATCTATTGGTCGAGATATGTCAAGAGAAATCTGTTCTTCAGATAAATTTAATACTGTGCAAATTGCTTCGTGATTTTTCACTGTAGTAAGACATTCAGGGATTTCTAAACATGATAATTTTCTGTATGGAATAATAGCATTACCATTTCTCGAATTTTTTATGTTAACCTTAATTATCTGTTCTGTTCTAGGTGGAACAGTGATAACATTAGAAGAATTTTTTGTAATCTCGTGATATTGCATGGGTATCCTTGTTGTGGGTGTGACTAAAAGATCATTGCTCAAATCAATGTTGGCATTCAATATCTCTTTCAGGTTATCGAGTCCTAAAAGGCATTGGAAATGTTCGTGAAACTTGAATAAATGAAATTTCATGAGAATATTTGGATTCTTAAAAATCTTTGGACAAGGTATTGTCATACTATATTGTTCGATAGATGAACCATGTGCTGAAGTGATTTGAAATGGGTCTTTTTGAATATGTCTTGAAAATAATTTTTTCGCAATTTCAGGGTGTATGAAAGATCTTGTACTTCCAGTGTCAATCAATACTTTGAGATTATACTCCGGAAATACAATGTATGGTAGTTTGCTACATTTGTCGGTTAAACTCATAATTTCTATTGACTTGGGTGGTCCGTTGAGACTTGTGGTTGTCTCTGTTCCGAGGCTTCTTGCCCTAAAAAATCGTCAGAATTATTCTGAGAATAAGCGCATTCATAATTGTCATCATTTGGAAATTCTACAACAGGTTGGTCTTGTACACACAAGTTAAACATAGCCTGTTCTGCGTTGACACCAGGTCTGTTAAAATTTCTACCTTGAAAATTTGGTTGCTGATACGTCTGTCTAGTGGATGTACTCATCGGAGTAGGCCTTGGCAGATTATTGATCTGATTAGGTCTAAAAACGTTATTATTGTGAAAATTCGTTCTATTCTGATTAGGATTATTTGGTCGTACATTATTAGGACTAAATTGTCTTTGTAATACTGGACGCTGTACCGCTTGGTATTGATTCCTATAATTACCAAAGTTGTTGTTCATATGGCGAACTAATTGCATATTACTTCGATTAACATTTTTATGTTTATCTACCTTATGATCAAGCTGAAAGTCGTTAGTTAATATATTCAGAGCTTCATTCAAGTCTGTAGGATTTTTCGTCCTCATGAGCGATCCTAGAGGTTCCTTTAAACCTTTTAGAAATACTCTTAATGCTACGCTTTTGCAAAAATTACATATTATCTGAGCTTCTTCACTCACACAATGTGTAGTTAAAAATGATATTTGTAAATTCAATAAACTCTGAACTTTGTTATAAAATTCAAAGGAGGTTTCATTGTTCTGTTTCAATTCACACAATTCTATATTTAGAGTAAATACGTCACGCTTGTCTTGATATGTATTTAAAAGTGCAGTTTTCAAGTCTGTCCAATTTTTTATAATATTGCTACTAATATTTAAAGCTGCATTACCTTTGATTTTCGCTAAAATACTACTCATAAGATATTCGTTCTGGAAGTCATTTTCATCCTCTAATCTATAAAATTTATTCACTAACTTTTCGCAAATATCTATGAATCTTGGTAATAATTCTTGTTGACCATAAAATTCGGGTATCATGTTAAGATACTCTGGGCGTAATGACATGCTTGATTGATTTACTTGACTGTTGTTCATATTGACTGTACTATTTAGTATACTAGGTCTTAATTGCAAGTTCCTTAAACTATGTTGGATATGTTCCGTATCCGACTGTGAGTCCGAATCAGTGTCACTCAATATATCATCAAACAGCTTTTGATTGTTTTCACCCCTGTAAGACATTCGTACTTACAGTAGTAATCCAATCCGTCCCATGTGTCCGTATGCCTGGGCCACTGCTGGGTTGCCTGTCCTGGAGCAGATGTTCCTTCTGTCCTCTGGGCTGCTGTCTTCTTGGTTTCTCGATTTGGGTAGGGTTCTATCCCAAATCTGGTTCCGGTGATCACGGTACCGATATCGATATTCCGTCGGATCGTTCGCGACCAATCGCGGTTGGTTTCGTTATAGCCAGTAAACCGTTGAAACGAACCGAAAATGTCCTTTTTTCGTCTGGCTATCCTACTGCTTTGACTGCGCCACTCAAATATCTTTCTTCAACGAAAACGTTTTTAAAAAGATTTATTTTTGAGAAAGACCAAATACAATGATGTTAATTGAATGAGTTCTGAATCGAGACTGACTGCAAAGTTCATTATACAAACCAAAGTAAAGAACAAATGAAATACAATACTGTAACTGATAAGAAAGGCACGTGGAGGCAAAAGTCCTTGTTCAGCATATTCTTCTCTGTAGACTGGTACATAACTTGTATGTACTTTGAAGTACAAATCATACATAGTTTATGTATGTCGAATTTAGTAAATTAAATAACAATAGAGAGCTTACATTTTATTATAAAATTAAGCATAAATGCACATACATATGTACCAAAACAATCAAGAATTATTAATCAAAATCATTAATGAATGTGAATTATGAAGCTTGGAAATATTCATCAATTTTTTTTTAGGTTGTTATAACGCGAAATCAGAGCTTTGTCCCTCAGTCTTCTCAAAAGTAAAAGTTGGTTGTAGGATGTATCATTCTCTTCAGCCCATTGTAAACCTAGCTCAAAGGCGTTAATTGCATCTTGTGCTGTGACTTGTGGAGCAGTTGCAATCACGTCGTCGTTATTTTCCTGATTGTTTGTTGTATAATTAGAAACCTCTTTTATAATCTCTTCGTCAGACATTTCATGAAAAAACATTTTCCTCTTTATCCATTCCACGGCACCAGATTTCAAAATCTTTCGGACTTATCTGTGTTTCAGTAGCGACTTGTTCTATGACTTCCGAAGTTACACTGATTTGTGGAATGTTGTGTGGTGACTATATCTGGCCATAACTTTTCCCAACACGATTTAATAGTTGATGATTGACTGACAAAGAGCAAAAACCAAGTCTTTCATATTAAATTCTTTTAAAGATTTTTCTATTGGTTGGTCTTTTGATACGGCTCTCAGAAGTAGGTTTTTCTTAGTCTTGCTTGACAAACTGAATGATATTCTGGTCCATTGGTTGAATCAGTGCAGTGCAAGTTGGAGGAAGAAACATGGCAGTGATGCATTTATCCTCAGTTGTTAGTTCTTCTTCAGACGGATGACCGGGAGCGTTATCAAGAAGCAACAACGCTTTTTGAGGAAAATTATGATCCATTTTCTAACTTCAGGTACGAAGCATTCATCAAACCACTTTTGAAAAGGACTTTTGTCATCACTTTTTTGTCCGTAATAGTGTACAGGCAAGTCAATGTTTTTGAATGCCCGTGGTTTATTAGATTTCCCAATGGCCATCATCTTAAGCGCGTGTGTGCCCGCAGCGTTAGCACATGGTAGTATGGTTACACGATCTTTACTTACTTTTCGTCCAGGTACGGATTTTTTGTTACAAGAAACGAAAGTTTTGTTAGGTATCACACGCCAAAAAAGCCCTGATTCGTCTGCATTGTACACCTGTGACGGGTCAAGATTTAAATCGTTCACCTTTTACAAAAATCTTAATTTAAGTGGCTCTAAGCAGGTGGCATCGTTAGAAAGTTTCTCTCCTGTAATAGTCATTAAACGTATGCCATGACGACTTTTAAAACGTTCTAGCCATCCTTTGCTGGCCACAAAATGATCTTTTTTTGTTATTTCCTTAAAAAAACTTAGCTTTCATGGACAACATGGGTCCTGAAATTGGTGCATGCCTATTTCTTTCCTGAAGAAACCACATGTACAAAGCTTCTTCCACTTCTGCATGTTCAGCTTTCTTGAGTGTCTGTCTCTTGCCTGGCCCGCAGTCAGTAGTTGACACGAACATCTTGATCTTCTCGTGGTTTCTTTTAATGTCATAAATTGTAGATCGGCCTATGCCGTATTCAGTTGCTAAATTACTGAAAGTTCCATTGCGTTTTAAGCGGTCTAAAATATCACATTTTTCTTTAATTGTCAATGTTTTGTGCTTTCGCTTCTGAGTTTGTGATGACATTAGTAGGTACTATACTTAATACACAATGAATAAATAGTAAACAATGAACGCACGCTAGGCCGTACCGCTATCACAAGTAGTCAATTTCAAACTAAGTAAAACAATGCTTACGCGTCGATCACGATAGCGGTGGCGCGTACAAGTTGTAACCTATTCAAACCTGCGTGATCTACATTAGCGAAGATTGTCAAATACGTATGTATGTAATATTCAAAGACATGTCGGATTACAGGGGGCGCCGGATTAGACAGGGGCCGGATTATCGGGGGTCAACTGTACTAAGGTCCGGATTTTTATGTGGTATAAAACTGCGAAATATGTTTTTCTATGCTGTAAAAAATAGACGAAATATGGATTTCATATGTGGAAAAACTGAAACACAAATCTGCGAACCCAAAAAAATAAACGCTTATATATTAATATATTATGTTTAATATAATAAATATAATATATCAAATAATATTAAACTAAAAGTCAACAAAACAAAATAGGTTTTTCTGTAATGAACAGTACAGTACTAATCCAAACTGATACACACAAAAACTTAAACGATAGGGTTGCAGTATAAAGCTAATAACTGGTTAATACTATCCATGCTTAAATTATGGCGTTTGTCTGTTAATAAATTTTTAAAATCCGAATATGAACGCTCCACATCACATGATGTGATCGCGCTTCATTTTAATATGCGGATCACTTTGGTTCTGTCCTCACAAAATGTAACAAACATTTTTTATTTGTTGGTATCCAGGATTGCGAGATAAAACACTTTCCCATTTAACCCTAGTTTTGTTTCCAATTTCTCCAGGAATAAGACTTAGTTCTTCAATCACCTTTTCTATGATTCTGAAAGAGTCGTTTAATGACAACTGGGTAGTTTCCAACTCCATTATTGCTTTTGCTAACATGAAAAAATGAGCTTTAATAAAGGCCAAGTCTTCTAAAATGTTTGACTCTAGTATCGATTCCTTACAAGATCTAAGTGCTATAGAATCAGCGTCAAGCGAAAGAAAAATTTCTTTGATTTTTACGAAATTATCTGCATAAAACAAGGCAGCATTGAGCCATGTACCTCATCTTGTAATAACAGGCTCAGGTGGTAAGGGAAAGCCAGGAGCCATTTCTTTGTAAAATTCTACCCTTAAGGGGGCTTTTAAAAAGACCTTTTTTCCCTTATTAACCCTTAAATTGGCAAAGCCATGTTTTGCAATTTTTCTGATAACAGTGGATGTTGATATATTTATTGGCATCCCAATAAGTGATTATAAGAGAAAAATTGTGATTTTTATGGAATTTTGAGCAGATATAGGATGTATCCGATAAGATACATCACCAATTTGAGTGAAGTTGTTTGCTACAATGTAATGTATGCTAAGAGATACACTGCCAATTGTTAAGTTATATAAAAGGATACAAGAAAATTATGTAAAATAATTTATTGATTGTTTATAATGGACAACATTTGCATGAAATAAGAAACCGACAACCTCTAAGCACAAATAAACGAAAACATCTTTCATAATTGAACAAAAAATCCAAAGTTGACGTTCACTGGAACCTGTCAACTACTCTGATGGAATGTATAAAAGCAGTTCCGATCTTTCACTAAACATAGTCTTGTGCCACACTTGGTACACGCCCAATGAGTTTCTCCCTTCTTGCATAATCGACATCTACCTTTGCTTATATACTGCGGGAAGTGATCGACTCTGTCATATCTTACATCTATTGGTGGTCTAACTACAACTGCTTGTTTGATCCTTTGTTTTATATCTACATTCTCGTTCACTCTCGAGTCAGTTGATCTTCTTTTCATTCTCAATGATTTCGAGACATAGTATCTGAATTCTTTCAGACTGATGTTTTCCACGTTGCCCCCTGATTCTGCACACGTCAGCTTAGTTTCTCGACGGTAAAGAAGCCAAGCATTATTCATGCATAAATCTATCATTTGAGCAAAAATAGATAAATACCACCGACGAGTCTTCAGCTGAGTTCTGTAAAGTGAAACTAACATATCCATAAGGTCAACTCCACCCATGTGGCGGTTATACTGTTTTAAAATACTCGGACATGGTATATCAGTTTTATCTTTTTTGTGTTTCGTATACCGTGTAGCAGTAGCTACTGGCTCTACTGAAACATAAGAGCTCACAAGAATGACTGCCTTATTGTCAAACCATTTAACGCAACTGATTTTGTTGACGTTATCATTTTTGAAGCAAAATGACCCTCGACCTCTTTTCGCCAAGGCTTTGTCGTTTTCTAATGAACAGATCCCCAGCCGATTGGATCTTATTGTGCCGAGAGATAAAATTCCGTAGTTTTGTCTCAGTATGTGCACCAATTCCAAAGACGTAAAGAAGTTGTCAAAATACACAGCCGAGCAGATAGGGGCTTTCATAGATTTGCATAGACTAAGAATAACTTTCGCTCCTAATCCTAAAGTATTCTCTTCGCTGGTAAACTGGTGATATTCTCTGAATGTCTTTTCTCCTCCATAGATGAGAAAATCATAGATCAATCCAGATACACCTGCTCTCACAAAGATTTTGAAGCCCCACTTTTTGGGCTTAGATTTTATATATTGCCGCTTTGACCCGGCCTTCTTCCCTTTATATGGTACCATAATTTCATCAATACTCTGTTTTTTCTCTTCTTCTACACTCATACAATTTCTTCTCACTATTTCTAAAGCTGGCCTAATTTTGAAGTAAGGATCGTCGTTCTGATTTGCGTTGTTAACAAAGTGATTGTGTCTTCTTATCTGTTGATAACGTTTTAGCGACATCATTTCCGCGATATCATTATATCTAAATTTTTGACTCCAATAATCAGTATAACCTGGCATTTCGACTATTCCCATCAGGATTTGAATAGCCAAAAAATCTTTCATTTCCTCGAGTGTGACACATATTGATTTGCCGGTTTGTTGAACTGAGTATAAATTAGTGTTGTCAACGAGCATTTGTAATAAATCATCTGAGAAGAACATCTGAAAGTATTCGTATGGCGTTTTCACTCTATCAGGCGTGGTAAAATTGTCTTCTGGAATATGTACTGGAAAAGCAAACTGTTCATTTGTCCAGCTACATTCAAGTTTTTTCTTTTTCACCTTACTCCTTTTCCTACTGACTTCGTCTTTTATCAGCTTGTCTCTAACAGCATGACTCATATTTTTTCTTTTTTTGCCCGTTTTAGAATGTGATCTGGTTTTTAGTGGTGTAATCGCAAATGAAGTTCTTGGAGTCGAAAATGCACAGAGACTTACTTTTTCTGGTGTATTCTGAACAACTGGGGTTGCTTCATCTGGAGAAGCGTCATTGGTGTTTGACAAATCATTCATTATATCCTCCATTACTGCAACTGCTTCATCAGGAATCGATGGAGCCTCGGAAGACTCACTATTTGAGTCCCTTATCATATCAAACAGCTTTCCAGGAAATTCTTCATCTTCACTTGTGTCACTCAGATCAGAAGATACAGGTGGTAGAAGGGCAATTATCTTGTCCTTCCGTGTTAGTGCCATAATAGAATAGTTTCTTCTGGAAAATAAACATAATCACTAGTATCTGAGCCAGAAATAAAGACATATTTTATTAATTTGAACATATGTTTAGGTTAAGTGTGTGTATAATATGATGCACACCTAGGATACTTCAATTTACGATAAGTTGGCAACGTATACTATGCGACACACAACAAACTATCAATTGCTTAAAGAGAACTTGGCACTGTAGATCATTAGATACACAACAAATAACTATCCCTTTTTTGAGGAGCTGGCAACGTAGACTACGAGATACAGTAAAATTAGATCAGCAACTCTGACCAAGTGGCTCATCATTATCATCTAAATCTAATTCTATAAGATGCACCTAACATCCATGTCCTCAAAGTTACAAATTCTTTGTGAATATTTGTTTTACTTTACTAGAAAATTATGAGTACTTACCGATAATTCACGCCACTCAATGCTGTCCGCTGACAAGTTTCGGCCATTACATTATAAATCCACAAAATAAATGCCAGATGGCGCCAGAAGTACCAACTCAAGTGACTGAATGCCTAATGAAGATATTTTCGGCAAAAAAGATTTGATATGTTGACTCGCATCGTTAACAGGGATATTTGAATATGTAGTATCGTATAAGATACAATACCAAATTAAGGGTTTTAAATTATTAACAGAAGGATATTCTGCACGTACTAATTCGGCTAATCTATTCAATACATGAGCCATACAGGTAAAATGTATTAATTCCGGGTGAAATACCAGTAAAGCTTTTCCAGCCTTGATCATATAAGCGGCCGCATCAGAAAGCATCAATTTTACGTTTTCTGATTTAACTGGATTTGGTGCATATAGTAGGGTTAAACTATCATTAATAAAACGTGCAACGGTCGAGTGATTGGTTTTTTCTAACGCTGCAGAATTAATTAAATAAGACACTGGAGGTAGACTCGTTTAAAATACCAACAAGTATATTGGCAACATAACGACCATATGCATCTGTTGTTTCGTCAACTTGAATCTAAATATTTGTGTTGCATAACTTTTCCCTAATATTTTCTAAACGTACCTGGTAACATTTCTTCAAATAGTTTTTGCGCAACGTGGATTCATTTGGGATATGGCGGTTACAATATTTTTCAAAAAATTTACGGAACGCCGGTTGTTCTAATTTATTCCATGCTATGTTTGATTGTGCCATGGAGTTGCATAAATCAAAATAAAATACATTTTTAGAATCCTGCTTTTGTTGGGAGCTGCCACATAATGCAGTTGAAACAAACGCTTGTTGCACAATCGTTTCTCCATTTCCTTGTGAATGGCTGTAGCAAGGTGTTGATATATCTGAAATTTCTGGTTTGAGGATACCTAAAATCAAACGAGCTCTTAAAAAAACTTTAAAGAAACCTTGAAATAATGAATATTTACAATAATAGCTCCGTAGATAATGAAAGATTAATTAATTATTATATAATAATAATAATAATAATCCGGCTTTATTTATACAAAGTATAAAACGGCGAAGTGTCGCTAAAAAGCGTTTTTCAAACTTACCCAACAAATATTTATGTATATTTTTTAATCCCAATGAAAACAAGAGTTAAAACAAAAACCTGTAACGACTCCTTATTCATGGCCATGGTCTACTTACTGGGCAATGGAATCAGAGATAAAATACTTCAATCTTTTTTTGAAATTCTTTATAGAGTAGTGAGTGATCTCGGTAGGCAACGCGATGTATAGCTTGATAGCAGTATATACGTACGACCTTTTGAATAGAGATGTTGAATGTCTCGGGATAACCAAGATATGCTTATTCTTTGTGTTCAGTTGATTGACATCTGAGTATCTGATAAATTTGGTTGATAGATATGGAGGGGCTTGTGTTGTGATTACCTTATGGGTCAAGGTCAATACATGCATTTTTTGTAGCTCTTCTATTTTTTGAACACCCAGCTCACGATATTTATGTGACACTGTCTCAAATTTTCTCACTCGACAAGCAAATCTGAGACACGCATTTTGAATAGTCTGAAGTCTCCTTATCTCAATCGATCTTAATGCAGGCCCATAAATACAGTCACAGTAGTGAATTCTAGACCATAACTTCAGCTTGAGTCCAGTATTCATACTTTTCCTATGAGGAAATAATTGCTTCAAGATACCGAATGATGTTCGGCACAGTTGACTAACGTGTTTTTCAAACCTCAAATCAGAATCAATCCAGAGTCCTAAATTCTTGCACTCATTTTTTATAGGGATCGGTTGATCTAAAATGCGCAATGATAGTAATGGTTTTGCCTGATTTTTTTTTTATTTCTGGTCCAAATATAACTGCGGATGATTTTAACGGGTTAATTTTCAGATTACAAGATACGATAAATTTATTAAATCATTATTAATCAAATGTTCGGCATTTTTTAAATCTTTAATATCGAAGCCAAAGTACAATTGAGTGTCGTCAGCATAGTGATGAATACTGCAGTGTTCAACGTACTCGTGGAAATCAATACATATAAACACTTGTATTGAACAGGCGTTACAGTATACAACTGTTCCATCGGTGGATAATTATTTAGCACTCTTTATCCATTTCTTAAGTAAATCAGCTTTAGAGCTTGATATTTTCGGCATGGTGATCTTTTTAAATATTAAACGGCAGCGGAGAATAATACGTGTTTATTTACTACTCAAGTTTTCTAAATAAAGATTGCGACAGGTGCACGACACTGCGCCAAGTTATTAATCGGGTAATCACCGATATGCTTTGGGGGAATCACCGATATGCTTTGTAGTCTTTATAATTTGTGCACCGTTGTCAGATTTACATAACAATGGGTAATAATAAAAGTGCTTAGTCTGAATAAAAAAAAACAAAATGCCATTTTATGTTTTTTAAAGCGTATGTCTTTGTATATGTAGGAAAAACCTAAAATATTATGTTATATGTAAAAACATGTAAATACATATAAATCCGGTCTTTAATCATTACAGTAGGCGCACTACTAAATCAATGTTTACTTCAACATTGTTCGGCATCGGTTAATATTTCAACGATAGTTTTTTGTCTTGAGCTTGAATTTGAAAGTTGGAATGCATTTGAAGAAAATGAAAATAAATAGAGAATGATGAAATGCAATTTTACAGGTGGTATGGTTCACAGCCCTTTTTCCTTACGCTGTACTGCTCATCCTCTTTGTGAGGGGCATTACGCTTCCTGGGTCTGCGCAAGGCATCAAGTACTACTTGAAACCGGATTTTAGTGCCATAGGATCAGCTGAGGTAAGCACTAATATGTTCATATTTAGCCTTTGTTACATACATATCCATTAGGGATTCCAATTCCAAGTACCGGGTGTCGACCGGGTACTCGGTGGAGCTTATTAATGAAACAAAAGGCGGAACAAAATCTATGTCTTATTTCATCATATTTTTTATTCGTTTTATGGACTTGCCAAGCGCTACAATTGCAAATTTTTCAGGATTTATTTATTTATTTATTTCCAACAGGTGAAACCCAATTACAGGAAACGCTGAAAAAAATAACAATTAAAGAGACATGGTTCTTGGACTTAAATCTATAGTATCACACATTCTAAATAAGATTGGATGATCTATAGCAGTTAATAATCGGTGCACAACTGTCACTGTAAATATCACACGATTCAGTAACACAGTTCATGACGCAGCACATGAGATTAATTGGCGATTTTGTCATAACATTTGTACGGCCAGCTTGACAATAGAATGCCGTTTGTTGTCGACTCCCTAGCCTTGGAACGCGGAAACATATTTTTTCAAGTAAATTTTGACAGTCAATTTTATTGTGAATGAGGCCATACAAAAACGACAAAGCAAATATGTTTCGCCTTGTTGACAGTGAATCCAAATTGAAAAACTCTAATAGGGCACTATGGTCACAACCTCTTTCTGGATAAGAACCTGTGCATTTAAGGTGAAAATACTTTAAAGCTTTAGTTTGAATGGCCTCAAGGATCACGACAGAATTTTGGTATATAGGAGACCAGATCAGAGTTGCATACTCCAACTTGCTCCAGACAAAGGTAAAAAATAAAGTCATTAATGTATCAACATTGGAGAAACCCTTCCAGTTTCTGATACAGAAACCAAGTAGTCGAGTGGCAGCCGACGAGATATTGAGTATATGCTCAGTAAACGTTAGCTTGGTATAAAAAATGACTCCAAGGTCTCTATAAGAGGTGCATCTGTCTATAACCTGACCATTGATGTTATAATTATCATAAATTAAATAGTTAACTTTTCTTGTATAGGTCATAACTTTACATTTCGAAACATTCAGACTGAGACAGTTTCGTGAACACCATGACGAAATTAGAGCTAAGTCATCTTGCAACATGACGCAATCCTCGACTGTCTTGACTGGCGTGCAGATTTTAAGGTCATCAGCGAAAAACAAATGGAAACACTTCAGTTCAAAAGACAAGTCATTAATAAATATTAAAGGATTAAATTGTAAGTTGTTCACTTCTGGTTTTACATGTAGTGCTTTCAAGTCAGAATTAATTTTGTTCTTCATTTCTGATATTTTATCTGCATCGATAGAATATATCGTCGGCTTTCTCACGAAGTGTCCTAAGCAACGTTTAGTAAATTTTACAGGAAGCAAGAAAACGAAATCAGCGTGTTGTTGAATGAGCTTTGTATGTAAAGTTCAGGTATTTCCAAATTGAAAATTTCAGTGTATCAGCCCATATTCATTGTCGATCATATACTATTTCAATATTTGAGGTAACGTATCAAGTTATATTGGAAAAAAATTGAAAACGCACGTAGGTCACTTCGTGAGAATTTTCAGAAGCTTTTTGTCAGATAGACTGAAATACAGGTTGGCGCATCGAAAAGAAATATACGCATTCACTGGCAGCTCAGATTTTTTTTTGATAAACGCTCAGACCCGTCGACTTTGTTTTCGAGGGGGACACAAGTTTGGCAAAAAGTCACGTTAGCACGTGCAGCCCCCTAAGCGGCGGTAACACCACCCCCAAAATCTTAAATGGAAAGGGAGGTCGAGTGATACCTTATTTTAAAGGTCTTTCAATCCCCTTTATAATGATATAAAATTCATGTATTTCAGTTCAGTAGTTTTGAAGGTTTATTGATTTAAAGCTTAAATAAAACTAATATACTAAGTGACATATAAATCCGAACACTCAGTTTAAATGGTTTTATTTTAATAAAAGTTGGTGAATGTATTTATCTTACTGTAAATAACAAATGAAAAAAATTTCAGCCTTATCAGTTGGACATTCCGGTTTTTATACTGCTTTTTTTTAATTCACTAACGCTCTAAAAATGAATATTTCAGCCGCAGTAAAGAAACAACGTTGGCGGATTTTGGTTCTTGACATCCTTTACGATCGGTTACGATGCCTAGAGTACGGAGACCTGTACGATTTCGTGAACTTAGTGAGTTTGATAGGGGCCGTATAGTGGGACTTCGGGAAGCTGGACTTTCTTTTCGGGCAATTGCAGTTAGAGTGCAAAGAAGTGTAGACACTGCGGTTAGGTGTTGTCAGGCATGGCTTCAAGAAGGCCGTACGCAAAGAGCAAGGGGCACTGGACGCCGCCGTAGAACAACAGACAGTGTTTACCGATGAATGAGAAGTTTTGGCTTGTTTTCATACCGGCCACACTGGGTCCTCCCTTTAACTCGAGAACACCGACGTAATCGCCTTGAGTGGTGCAGACAACGGTCACTCTGGGATCAGGAATGGAACAGTATTGCCTTTAGTGTCGAGTCTCGATTTTCTTTAGGCATGCACGATGGTCGTGCCAGGGTTAGAAGGCGACGTGGTGAAAGGAGGAATCTACAGTTTTTTGTTGAAAGACATGTTCATCACCCTGTTGGAGTTATGGTTTGGGGTGCTATAGCTTATGGTTCCAGGTCACCTTTAATCTTCATCAGAGGTAACATGAACGCGCAGCGTTATATCCACGAAGTTCTAGAACCCCATCTTTTACCCTATCTTGACACCCTGGCAGATCCAACTTTCCAACAAGATAATGCCCGACCACATGTTGCAAGAGTCACAATAGACTGCTTTCAACATAATGATGTCACATTGTTACCATGGCCACCAAGATCTCTCGACTTATCCCCAATTGAGCACGTGTGGGATATGATGGGTAGGAGATCGCTCAATTTGCAACGTCCTCCTGAGACTCTAGAAGCACTTCGAGAGGAGTTGGTGGTTGCCTGGAATGAGATACTACAGGAGGACATTGACCACATGATCAGAAGCATGCCTAGGCGCGTTGGAGAATGCGTAACACATCAGGGTGCATCCACACATTATTAAAGGTCAAAGGGCTTTAAAGCAGTGCAA